AGGCCCTCTTGTTACTGACAAGAGGGCCTAATAAATATCCTTTTTTCATCAACTGTGCATCTCAGACATCTCTTGTCAAGTAATGTATTTCATTACACGACTTTTGCAATGATAGCACAAATACGGCAAATGTAGCACCAAATGTACACCCCAGACACCTTTGAAGAAAAAACAATGAGTATAACCATGGCCGTACATGCAATATTATAGAGAAAAGAATTTTGTTTTTTTAATGCCTGGAGAGAATCTGGAAAATGTATAGCAAATTGTTTTTGCAGTGAAGAAGAACTGACTGGAGCTGGAATAACTGCAGGGAGGAGGACAAGTTTGGTGGCAGAGAATAACTCATGTATATGTTAAAAAAGCCATGAATGAAAGCCTCACAGAGCATCTCTGAAGATCTTAAGTCCAGGCTTGGGTCATACATGGTTGATGGCTTGGGTCATACATAGTTGCAGGAGAGAAAAAAAAGACTTGTTCCAGGTTTTAGAAGCTAACATGAGAAAACAGGAACGGGACATTTCGATATCAGGAGGTCAAAACAAGAAGGTCCTGGTTGTTATCCATAAGGAGAGTGAGGCAAAAATAGAACTTCTCCCAGGTGCAACAACATCTTGAAATTGGAGTTGGCGCAGGTGTAACCACTCAGACCTGTTTGGCAGTAAAGCAGAAGAAGCAGGAGTGCATTATGGGACTGCACACAGCAGCTTGACAGGCAGGAACGGACAAGAATCATTACAATTAAAAGCAGTTATTAAAGGAAAATACTGCCTTTATAACATTTTTTAAAACTGATGCATGGACTAAGCCCATGCCAGATGGCAGCTAGCATATTTGTCTGAAATATATTTGCTCAACCTGCCCCCAAAAATATAATCCATTAGAATGGAAAAATACTGCCGCAGACATTCAGTTAACATCTAGTGGGCTGACAAATGTGTCAGTTTCCCACGCAAAGAAAAAGATGGTATTTTTTACGTTAAGATAAAGATTTGCCTTTTCACTTTAACTGTTAGCCATCAGCCACAGTCTTTTAACTAACACCCACAATGTATCTGCTAGATATGCAGTAATCTTGTATTCACTATACACCATTCTGGTAAAATAAAAATTCCAGCTATTGTGTAGTTTTCGTTTTTAGAACTGAAGTGCATTGGCATTCAACTCCCGTCTGTTAAAAAGTTAATTGAGGAATAGGATAGCAACAGAGACAGGGACAAACACTAGATGAAATGGTGCCACCAGACAAAAGCATGGTGCATTGTTGAATCATATGCTATAAAAACAACACTGGTTTTGTTTTAATAATTCCCTTATTTACTAATTCAACCTTTTGATTGTAATGAATAAATGATCCAAAGTGTAATTCTATCCATTTGTCATTGATTGCCATGGGTAAGAAAGTAAAAAAAAAAAAACATCTTTATTTGGCTCGAAAAAATGACATTTGCAGAGTTGCTCCACTTTCACAGGCTGGTACTGAATGTCTCTCAGCGTCTCCCAGAGCAGCAGATAGGATTTTAGCTGACCTTGCATACAAGCACTTAAAAGTAAATAAAATGATGAATAAAAAGATATTTAATAGACAAATAATGTCTCTACATTTCATCAGTTAAAAAAAATTCTCTAATGTATTGCATCATGGTTGCAAACTGGAAAAGAAAAATCATCAGGCTACTATGAGTGAGTTTGAGGCCAGCAGACTGTCAAAATTATTGTGGTTTTCTCTGAACCCTTGTCTTCTCTTACTTTATCAAGGAGGGTGGGCTGCTCTGGTAGGGGAGTTCTGTGATTAATTTGGAGTGGGTTGTTTCCAGTTAAAGGGACAAAGGTGACTTAGGTGGCAATTATATCTTATTTTATTGGTCATAATCTTTCCACCATTTGCTCGACCTACAAGCATGGTCAGATTAAAAGAAGCAGGATAGCCCAGTACATGTTTCAATTTTTAAATCATGCATTTTAAGACTAACAAGCACAGACCATTTCCGCATCTCACCAAGGACCTTTATAGATTACTAGACCAACTTAAGAATAACGTACAAAACACTGTTAAAATGATTTCTGTTTATTACTCATTATGATTCAGCTTTTTGCATTCAGATGCTCCATCATACACATAATAAGTGGGCCAATAATTTATACAGGGGATGGGAAAAACCCATAACACTTAGGTTTTAGCAAACATTACATTAACCTCAAATGTTCTCCTCCTAAGCCCCTCAAACATCCCCCAGCAGCAGCATATTCACACACAGCGGTACTTTCTCTCTCAGCCCACAGAGAGCAAACTTTTTTTCACTCTTTTTTTTATAGGTTCACACATCATGGTGTTAGAGCACCGACTGATGGAAATAGACTTACTACAAGGCTCCATCTGGTTTGCCCCCGAGGCCAATGTGTCAAACCGTTGATGAGAAGTGGAAAGTGATGGTCATTCTTGTGGGCTAAAATAGTTTGAATTACATGAACAGTGATTAATATGTAAAAATAATTTATATATATAAATATATAAAAAAAAAAAAAACATTTATAATACAAAACTGCTGGAATCTTCACCTCACCAGCTTCTTGAAAATAGATTACGTTTTTTCAAAAAACGTTTTTAACTTTGGGGTCTCTTATTATATATATATATTTTTGAATAATATAAACTTTGTTTTAAGTTCCTCCTCTGTTATAATAAACCTGTTTCACTGGTTCATGCATAACGCTCATTGTCTTGTCTGGTTAAAAAAATATATATTTCCTGACTTTACTATTTCAACTATTTCCTGTTCTTATCATTGATCATTGTGAGGTTTGTGGTATAACAGAGATGAAACACATAACAACATGAGCAAAATGGGCTGAAAAAGCAGCTGCAGCATTATGTGACTATTAATTCTCTGAACTCAAAGCTAATGATTACCAATGATTGATTTTAGGCCATTATACTGTGATCATCTTTATTTGCATATTAATCCATGACCAGTCATGGAGAGATTAATGTTTAGATCATTGTCATGAGTCACTAAAAAACAAAAAAATTAAGTCAGATACAAAAGATGGTTAAATTCTGACAGAATGTGACAACAAGTAGATACTTATTGGAACCAAACAGCAAAGAAAATGGGGTAAAATCTTTGTTTCAACAGAGGAATCAGTGTGAAGAATCTTCCTGATGCTTCTTTAGAGTAGTATGTCTTTGCCACCAGTTCTTTCCATCCAAGTAGGCCATGCTGGTCTTTGTCCATACCTTGCTGGGATTAACACAGATTCTCTTGCCTTTGATTGTGGTAAATCTTTTAAAAATTAAAGAAAAACACATATTTTACTATATTTTGTATTTTCTCTTTAATTACATTAAGTTTAAATACACTACATGACAAAATAAGATGACTATTAATATATACTACAATAAGACTATGATCAATACCCTAGGCATCGTTTTCTGACTTACATCACTGCGGGTTGGGTACATAACGATGAATCCTGTATGTAATAACTCTTCAGTGAACCTCGATGAAACCTAGTTCTGGAGTATTGCAGACAGCATTTTGGGATAGCTTTAAATAAAAACACAGTTCTTTTAATTTTTACAACCTTTGTGAATAATAACAAGCCAGATTAATTCATTTAAACTTTAACATTTATCTTACCTTGAGCTGAAAAAGTGGGCAATACTAAGAATATTACTAAAAGCAGAAGGAAGTTGAGACTCATCATGTAAAGCAAAGATTTACAGTCTTTAAATTTGAGCCAATTTAAGAGGAGTAACTTAGTTGTTTCATGTATTCCTATGGAATGCAGTTTAAGTTTCTGCACCACAAATATACAGTAGGAAAAGAGGAAGTGCAACACGACCTACCACAGAAGCATCATGACCAGATCCTCCTTCCACCATTTTTCGTTTCCCATAAATGGGTCTCCTACAATAAATAAAGCTATTTTTAAAATTCTTTACCTCTCAGAAATTCTTTCTAGATGTTTGTTTCACTTTGTAATGTTTCAACCATAAAAATCAAAATATTTGGATTCTCATTTGGTCTATGTTGAGATATCAACAAAAGGTTGCAAAGAAGTGGAAAAGAAAGGAAACATGGTATCAAAAATATTGATTCCTCATTGACTTCCAGTAACAGATCCAATGAATCCAATTGACTTTAGTGGTCAACACATTATGCTATTTAAACTTGGTGTGGATGCAGATATTCACCACTCTGGGGTGTTAGAGAACAATATATTCAGAGAGTCAAAAGTACTGAGTCTGACTCATACAGAGCCTATACAGAGGGTCAAAGATCTGGTAAAGTGAAAAAAATCCAGCAGTGCTTGAAGTACTGGGAAATTTTATCAACTTTATTAGCTTTCCAACACGTTTTGGGTTGTGGTCTTGCCCTGCAAACAGAGTTGTTTTCCAGCACTTTAAGAGTTGCTGAGAATTTAACTTCACCAGACTATGTGTTGACAAAACACATATTAGTTCTGCATTCCACAAATGTGGCCTTTATAGAAAAGCAAAACAAATGTTTGGATAAAGAGGTCATATAAACATGCGGTGAAGACCGAGTGAGACCATACTGTTACTTAGATGCAACAGTCTATGTGTGAAAAAAAATGCATAGTGCACAAAACTCTAAAAACACCTTCCTCATAGTGAAACGTGTGGGTTGCAGTATCAAAACGTGAAAATGTGTTTCTTCTTTAAGAAGAATGGATATGAATATGGTGAATTTAAAGATTGATACATGTAAATACAGGGTATAACTTTAATAAACCTCTAAAGAAGCAGCCAAAGTTCTAAAACTAAGGCAAAGGCTCACCTTAAGGCGGGAAAGACTTTTTAGAAATAAAGCCATGCATAGAATGGAATAATTTATATAAAATCAAAATTGTGTGTTAGAATCTCTCTTTAAAAGTTCAGACCAAAATGCAAAAGGCAATCTGTGCTTAAATAGACTGTCAAATCTGTGGTTGATCTACTTTACAAAATGACTAAGCAAAAAGTTTGCTCCAGCGTCATTTTAGATTTTTATCTGTAAAGAACTGAAACAATGTATTTTTTCCACTTATTAATTATGTTCCTCTGTTTCTATTAGATGAAACTTCAATCATGTAGATGTGAAAACGTATACTAGTAATAAGAGTTTTGTATTGTGATTGGAAGACAGCTGTGCAACAATTCAAATTGTATTTTGTGTTCCAGAGCTTCAGCTTTAGCTTCTGTTTAAGCGCTTCTTCTGTGCTAAGTTGCAGTTGTGGATGTTGCATCTGATAGTCACTTCCCAGAAAGAACGAAAGAAGGAATCTAACAAACAGATTAAGGAATAAGCAAAGGAATCCAATCAGATTTGAGTGTATTTAGCCATTTGATTCAGGTATGTGGAATCATATTTTGCTCCATCCTCTGTCACTAATATACTCGATCGCTATATCTTATAGACAAATGAGGGGAGCTGTGCATCATGCTGCATCCCAACAGAGTTCATACGAAATACAGAAAAAGCTTCTGTTTATGTCGGAAAAGAGGATGCAAGGATGCAGGAGTCTGCATGAATAAGGGGTTAAGGGCTGGTTATACTCCCGCAGAAGTGTGTCACAGTGCGCTTGTCGCAGATAGTTTTGATTTATGCCCAAAATTAAAGCGTGGTCTGCGCTACGTTATACCACGCCACAATGCAAGAGGGACAATCACGAACTAGCTGTGGTTCTAGATACGGCTGAGGCGCTGAGGAAGTGGGGGCAAGTTTTTGCAACAACGGAGGGACATGAGGGCAAAAAAGAGCAGGGATCCAGATGGAAAAAGGGTCCCGGCGTTCTCGCCTACCTTTCTCTTCTCTTCTATGGCAGTCATACAAACAAAGGTATCAAACAGGTAATACGCATGGTGTAGAGTGGATAAAGATTTGACCAATCAGAAGCCTCCTGTCTGTGGCACTGTCTGCGGTCACCTACAAGTTTGGAGAGGTGCAGCAGAGTGTCTTCTAAGGGGCGGGGGCACATTTACATTCACTGCCACACACATGCAGATGACCTGGTTTCTGAGTATAAATTAGCCTTTAGCCAGAACCAACCCATGGTCTAAACCAGAGGTCATGGATTAGCAGACCAGGGTCAGTTATCGCCATTCAAACCCAGGTTTAAAGCCTTGCAGGTCAGCCTAAAGCCCACTGCTCTCAATAAGCCATAATAAAAGAAAGAGAAAAAAAAACGGTCAGTTCAGGTGTTTTATAAAGAAAACAATTTAGATTTTAAAATGGAAATATGTTTTATTTTTCTTATATTTTTTGTTCAAAATGTAAATGTATAACATGGATAAATAAACACCTGCATCTTATTTCAGTGTTAAATGTTGATTAAAGTAACGTATTAAAATTAAAAATGTCTCCGGACCTTTACTGGTTGTTGATTTTCTTTATTCGGACCCCACTGATTTTTAATTGGTTACCCCTGGTCTAAACCATCTGCTAAGATCCCAGAGGAAATATCTTTTTGTCTTGCATCTCTGGATAAAGGTAAGCAGTTTGAGGAGTGGCTTTGAGATTTCAGAAATAACACCAATAAAAATCCATTTGTGGTGATTTTCCTTTTGTTTAAAAAGATATAGTGGGCACTTGTAGATATTTTTATAAATTTACCAAAGGAGTGACCAATGGCTTTGTGTACTACAGTGCAACACATACCTTGTAAAGCAGTTTCTGTGCTGGAAGGTTTGTGTAGTGGGTTTCTTACGCAAAACTGTCTGGTGAACCAACTGGTTTACCACATTTGAGCCACTAAATCTACAAGAAATAAGTGCTTCACAAATTCATACTTAGTTCTTTTTTGGTTTTGGTAGCATATTTTTCATAAATCTTTGTGAGGAAAAAAATGCCTAACATACATTGTAATTGCTATTAGATGCATAAGGTTAAGCTGTCTATGTTTTCTCCTTTTCTTTTGTTTGTTTTATTGAACGTCCCTTTCCTTGGCTATGACTGACTGACTGTCAAGCTAACTTAAGGACACTGAGACTTTCATAGACATGTATAGAGGTTTTGAATATTAGGGTAATTGTGTAATGTTGATCATATTTAGATTTTAATTTTTCACCATTGTATCATTTCTTTTTTGTGAAGTAAAATATCTTAAGCAACAAACTTTGTTTCTATTTTTTCTATTTTATGTGTGCTATATTTGTTCCTAGTATACAGATTAATGATGGGAAGTTTTGCTCTTTTCAGAGAGCCAGCTCTTTTGGCTCAGGTCTCAAAGAACAGCCGACTCTATCTGTGTACTTCTAAATGCCTCTCTATTTATTATTATCTATGGTCTCTTGCCAAGGTTGGAAATAATTAATGTTTTGAATCTTAATAATTCATTTTGCATTTAATGTTTCTTCAGAAGCCTTATAGTTGCCTTATTTTATGTAATTGTTCTTTTACAAAATGAATTCTTACTTTTTGTAATATCTCACTCAATTCAATTCAGTTATTATATAGCGCCAATTCACAACACGTCATCTCAAGGCAAGGTACTCAAAGTTCTGACTCCTACTTAACACAAAAACCAACAAAGCAATCCCTATTAACAAATCCACTGAACTGAGCTATAACTGAAACAGAAGCAACTGATGCTCTTCTATACTTGAACCTGAGTTGGTGTAGTTACATTTGGCTGTCAGGGTCTGTTTTATAAATTTGGGCTATCCTTTTTGGCTCTATTTACTCTACCATGACAGGTCTGGGCAACATAAACCTGATATATGAATAAGATCTCAGTATCTCTGTCATACCTAGAAGGACCAGAGTGGGACTAATTTTTAGCTACAGGGTTTCACACCTGAAACAGTTAAGATAATGGCCAACTATATATATATATAAAAAAAAGTAGGCTTTCTTGTAACCTTCAGGTTAAGTCTTCTATATCACATTGTTCTTTATAGGCTTTTAATTGTGTGTATTTTTCTAAAATTACTTTAATACCATAGAATAGGATATGATAAGATTGTTTTACAATGCATATTCTTTTAAATATTAGTGCAAATTCCCAACATTATTCTTCAGAACATATCCTTTACAATATCAGAATCAACATTCTGTTCAAATAATTGTTTTAAAGATAACCAAATCTTAAAATGGAATTAAAACAACCAATAATATTTATATTGTGCACATTCGAAATGGAAAACACATTTGAACTTAACCAATTAAGAAATGTCAAGGGCTAAATATTCTGATTAATTTCATATTTCATAATATTCCCTTTTACCTGTGGGTTTTCAGTTTTTACTATTCACTTTAAAAATATTATCAGTTACATA